ACACATGGAAGTTTGGAATGAGCAGCTGCTTTTCAGAGAAGATGTGACAGCACCATAAATCAGACAAATACGGTCACACTTGTCCTATCAATCCATTGTTTGATTTTGTTTGAAAGTATACAGGGGAATAAAGTATAAAATACTTTAATACTTTAAAATACAGGGGAATAAAGTTTGAAAGTATAGGAATAATTTCACCACCTAACCTTAGAAATCTAGCTTCCTAAAGTAGGAAACTAGCCATGCTGTGTGATGTATGGAGAGACACGGACCCTTCCAGAGGAGAACTGAGGAACTTCGAACTCACTGGTTTCTCCCCCAGGTGACTAAAAGGAGCTACTCTTATCTTACCCGTAAAGTCTAAAAAATGCAGTGATTAGCCTCTCTGGAGCTCTGTGATGCTGAAAAGGATTTTAATGAAGTCACTTGTGATGAAAGATTGAGGTAACCTGGTCTGGAGGAAAGTTTTCCAATGGAAAACTTCGTTTATTGTTTGTATAGTCGTTACAATGCAGTGCTGCAGTGCGGGTTATGGCCCCATTGCCCTACATACTACATTGACAATGCCCAAATGCATTTAAATAATGACGCTGCCTGCTTCTCTTTCTGGTAGTAAAAGGAATTACAAACCTTCTTCCGTTGTCACTCGTCCCATGTTGGTACCACATACATGGAAGCCAAAGCAAAGCACTCGTCATTTTGACAAAATTTTGTCCTTCGTCTATATAAAACAAACGGCTTCAGGCCTTTTACAAATGATTGGTGGCTTCTGAGCGGGTATTGGAAATTAAAGTTAAGAAGAAATAAGCCTTCTCATTACCATCAGCAGAATTTAATCTGACTAGGTGGGATTTTCCGTTTATGTTGGCAAACAGAAGCATAACATATTGGGACTGTTTATTCCGGTAACCTTAGCTAGCCTGCAGAACTGCAACATTACTCTTTTGATTAGCTCCATGCAAAAAGATCTTGTGAGGTGGAAAGATCTCCTACTCTTTCTATATTTGGCGGGACCAACTCCATAAAAATGTCCATTTTGCCACGCCTCTGATACCCCACTGCAGCTGCTTCCTCTCCTCATCCCACAGCGAGATATTAAAAAGTTTGCATGGAACCTTCTCCAAGTTTATCTGGATGTACAAAAAAGCCAAGAATGCGCTTGTCAAGGTTACAAGTATCTAGAGAGCTAAGACAGTTTTTAGTCTAACTGACTCTTCAAAATATAACAGAGGCCTGCCAGCTGAAAATTATTAACTGCTGGCTGAGCAGGGATAGTGAGTGCACTCTGTAAGAGATGGAGCAGGAATTATATGTACCTATACTGCTGGAATTCTTACAATACCATAATAGAGCCATCCTACCACCAGATGTGCTTATAATGCTCTCCAAGTGCACTCTTAATATCTAGGCAATTGAGGCACTTATTTCATTTCATCCTCCTGTCTTGTAACTCAGGTTTCCTTTTTAGGGAGTGATAGGATTACTTCCTTCTCCTGATCCATATGTTGTGAGGGTTTTTTTTTCATTATTATTTTTGTGAAATGGCCTTCCATGAGTCATTTATGTTTAAACAGATCTTGTAAGTTGTTTCAAAAGTCAAATGGAGCCTTACTTTGATGACTGTAGAAAACTTTAATACCCTTATATAGCTTTTTAAATATGGTCAGACATATGTTTTTTTCTACAGCTTGTTTAAATGTCAGAAAGGTAATTATGAAGTGTTAGTTGGTCAGTGCCTCTTTTAAGCTGTGGCGTATGGTTGAAATTATCACTATAGTCAAGAGGAAGATAGAGCTTTCTTAAGATAATAGGTTCCATGATTTATCTCACATTTTGGGAAATAACTGAAAGTTCTAACTTTGGGATGACTCAACAATAATTTTCCCAGATTATTTTTTGTTCTTCTGCCCTCTGAATAATATGATGCTTGTCATTTTTTAAAGATCTAGTAAAAAATTAATTTCATCAGGAGTTAGGTCTGCTCTCAAATCTATTTTCTGAGTGATACATTAGTTCACCTGATACCCACTGCTGGTTTTTGTTATTGTATTATCTGAAACAAGTTTCAGCTCTCTGTGTGCAAACTCAATGTTTCATGAGAGATCAGGAGAGCTTCCAACACAAATAGGTCTACAGAGTTATGAAATCAAGTTTATCACTTTTGTATTCACTTATTCTGAACAAAGGAACTACTGCCTATCAGGTACCATTTTCTTCAATGCAGCCTTTCGGGGGAAAAATAGTAAAGGAAAACTGTTCCAGAAATAGCAATTTTCTAAAAATATTACCTTACTGGAGAGTGTTTTTTTCAAATTCCATCAATATATTTTAATTCAGTCATAATAATTTTAGAGAAAGGATCATTTTTATTGCATCTGTTTAAGACAGGTATCACATATAATATCCTCTGTTGGGACAGGTAGTAAAAGAAAGTAATAACAGTAGTAAGTAAACAAGTGCTGTTACCCCACTCAAGAATAATCATTCATTCTGCTAATGGTGGAAAAACACATCCTGAATATGAGTTTAGCCTCTTAACTGGAAAAAAAGAAATATTAGAGTCATACCAGGTTCACTCTGGAGTATTTTTTTTAAGTTACTGAAGGAATATTGATGTAAAACAAGTATGCAAGAAGAGTCAAGCCTTCTGATTTACTGCATTCAACTTCTGAAGATTTCCATATACCATGGAAACCCACACCCAGTTCCATGTCTATTTACACCATTTTTCCATCAAAGCAATATATTTGATTTAAAAAAGAGACCTTTCTAATTGACAACATTGTAAGTGACATCATTGCTTGCCTTAGTATGATTAAGAAACTGAAAAATATGTCCAGAATTTCCTCTCAATTTTCTTTTTGTTTTCAATTAACAATACAGTTTTCATGCTCTTCTTTTTTTTTTTTTCTTGGATCATTTTATTGTGGCATGATACAGAACTGGACTATATTGAGCTAAAAATCTTAATGATTTCTTTTTCTAAGCAAGGGTGGCTTCAAGCAGGAAGGCAGGCAGGAAGGCAGGAAAGCAGGAAGGAAGGAAGGTAAGGAGCTATCTCTAGCAGCTCAGTTGTCACTGTGATAATCTGGGGAAGCAGAGAAGAATTAGATTACATAATTAGATAGAAAAATTATAATTCTATAGAAATTATCACTATTACCAGCAGAATGCTTAGAACCAATGTTATGTGACGGCTAGAAAACAGCAAGTGCTCCCATGACTTAAATGAATTCTCTGCACTTGTGTAACACAGGCTGCCCTTTCTCCTCCAGAGACAATATTCAATATTTATCTGCCACTTTTCCGTATGTTAAATGCTTTTAGTTTAGCTATTTTCTTTAGGATAGTGAACTGTCTCTTCATTTAGTTGTACTACTATTCTAAGAAAAGAACAAAGAATTTATCAAGAGATAATTTATCAACTACTATTCTAAGAAAAGAATAAAGAATTTATCAAGAGAACAGTTAAATTCCAGGCCAAATTCACCAATGTTAAATATCGATAAATGTGTTCTGAATTCAGCTGACTGATTCCCATCATATTGGCTTGCAGATATTTTTTTTAAATTTATTTATCATTGTTGAGTTCCACACCGACTCTACCTTAGTCCCTGAGACAATAATTCATTTCTCCTCCCCTTAGCTGTGAAAATCAGGTGCGGAATAATCTAACTGTCTCAGCTTACCTTAGTCAGTGGAAATGAAAAAGGCAAAACTGTATCAATTGTTTGATACAAAACGGTGTGCTTTACAAATATAATAAACATATTTAAATAACTGAAAATTATCCCAGTGGAACCTGGCCACCTATTCAAGTCAAACAAGAGAAATTACTGGCTGCTTCTTGACAAGCTGAAAGGGACAGACACTCTCTATAAGCCTTCTAAGTAAAGTTTCATTTGCTTGTGTGAGTAAATGTGTGTTCATATGCATAGAAAAGCCTGGATTTCCACTGAAATGTCTACTTATAGCAGGTGTTAATGAAACTCAAGAAAAGTGCAAAACTTCTCATAGCTAGAGTTCACAAATCATGGTGCTATTTTGATACCTTCCCATGAATGTATCATCACCTTACCAATTGTATCTAAAGCAATCCCTCAATCTAATATTGATTCCTGAAAAAAGGATGACCGTCTATCAGTAGGCAAAAAGCTTACAACTCTAATGATAAAACTGTAGGAAATATTTCATCAGATTTGGTGTACTTGAGTCCAGCATTCTAAATGTCTTTACTAAAACACATTTTTTTAAATGTATATGTTGATGCAATTATTATATGAAATGTAACTTGACTACCTATTTAGTGTGTTGAGATGAGATCCTGAAACACTTCAGTACATCCTTAACATGAATATTTCCATTAGAAATCAATGTGACAACATGCATGATGAAACTTGAGCACATGCAGAAGTGTTTCCCGGACCAGGGTTTGGTGAGCAGGAAACCAATAACAGTGATAAGAAATTCCATCATCTCCTCTGCTTTCACAGCACAGGGTAAGATAAAGTAGTTAAAAATGCCTGTATTCTGGTTTTGCTGGTGTTCCCATTCTTGCTGCCATCTGGAAACAGGATGTTCAGAAACTCTGGACAAATGGCAACTGCATATATTTAATTGACTAAAACAAGATGCTCATGTACGTTGCATGCAGGCAAATCAACTGCTTGTTCATGCAGTATTTGAGACCAACCGCTTCTTCAGCCACATCAGTGTGGACAGATTAGAAAAGATGTGCACCTGTTTAACAGATATATTACTTGTGCTTTTATCTTCCATCTCTACCTACTAGATGAAAATAATCTGTATCTGGTACATATAAAAATATGAATTACTTGCACAGCAGGGAGATAATAAATGGGTATCATTTTGCTATAAACATTCAATCTGATACACCGACATATCTATTAGTATCATAAACAAGAGCTCTACTGTGGGAAGCTACTAACCACTGGTAAATATTGGACAAGCGTTTAAAGTCCATTATGTTGCATCAGTACCTGTCTTTCAGTGAGGTCAAGGTTGACGGCTATCTCATATCGCCTCAGCCTGGTCAAATAGTTATGATGAGCAAATTCGGCTTCTAGCTCTCTGATTTGTTCCTTGGTGAAAGCTGTCCTTTCCTTCCTGGGTTTACTGTTGACCTCTGACTTGTAGTTTCCTTCTTGGGAATCTGAAAAAAAAAAAGATGAAAAAAATGGAGTAATGACAAGTGTACAGCTAAATAGGAAACAAGTCCAAAGATAACAACGTGTTCAAGTTACATTCTTCAAACTTTCTTCTCTCAGAAACACACCCTTGCTTTCATACCTATGGATTCTTCCCTGTAAATCCGGAAAGCAGCAGTGATTCTGACAGACGTGATCTGCTGCTCCCATTCATGCACATCAAACTTTAGCTTAAAACCTTGCAGTGTTTCATTTCCTAACAGTTCTCTATAGAATTTCTGCAAAACTTCAAATCCTTCCCACTTCTGGCAACTCTCAGTGCATCCAACCAGTACAGGATGCGTATCATTTGACTGGTGTCTTAATGAGTAACACTTCAAGCATCTTTCTCTCCTATCTTTTCACTAAGACTTTAAGCCAAATCTCTGTTTTAAAAAGCATGCTTTAAGGTTTAGTCCAGTTACATTTTCAGGGAAAGGTAACAGAGAAAGCATAGGAAATTCAACACACATCAAAAACAAACTGGTGAGCATGTCCCATATGATAATGGGATCTCCTCCTACTCATGTCACAGTGCAGGTAGGGAGGTTATGCCACAGCTGGTATCAGTATAGGAAATTTGCTGCCACTACAGCTCATTACCTAAGGAATACTTTGGCCATAATCAGAGGAGCTTTGCTGCAAGTTTCATTACCACCCTCCTGATTGCTTTTACTCTCAGAAACAGGTACGTTTGGTCCTGAGCTAAACTACAGAACTCAGTGACAGACATTCTGTTGCTGTCAGTAAAGTCTGTTTAAATAAATTAAAAGAGATTAAACTGTAAAAAAAAAAAAAAAGACAAAAAACCCCAGAAAACAGAGAAAGAGAGAGTGGAAAGGGAAAAAAGAGAAAAAAAAAAAGACCAGACATTTATAAGTTTGGGTATGATACAACACCTATAAAACCAAAATTAGCAGGAGATCAGTAGGAGTATCATTAGTCAAATTCTGGCCTCATGAACCATCTTAAAAATGTCACAGATAAATTCACACTTCAGCTGCTGATTTAAATAGAAACCTGCATCAACATCCAAATGAACAGGCTCACAAGAAATCACTCCCTGGGACTCTGTGTCAGATGAATCATCGACATGTCGGAGACTGTCCAACTGGCCAGTGGGTCCGGTTTCAAAACTACAGTCAACTATCCATGTTTTCACTTTCTGTCAGTTACTCTGCTGCTCGGAAAGGAACTTTTTGTTTGTTTGTTTTTAATGAGAACTGTTGATGTTTGATTCAGTGCTTTTAGTCATTAATTTAAAATGTTTTAAAGCTAACGGATTCAAATCACCAAACCTCTTAACATTTGCTGACATGACACACAGAACTCTGCTTCAGACGTGGCTGTACTGCTGGTGTGCATGACCGAGGTTATCCACCAATTTTGTTGAGTGGGTTTGTGAGCTGTTCAGCCCTGACTGCAGTCGGTTTTCCAGGACAGGACCCCTTAGACAACACATCCATTGACTACAGTGTGGCACCAAGGTCCATTATCCAAACTCAACACAAAAATCTTGACAGATCAAAACCACCTTAGACCTAGAAGTTCATGTTTCTTCCTTCATACTAGTTGGCAAACTAAAGTCACTATAACTTCTCTCTGCATTTTTCCGTAGCAGGAACATGAATGTTGCTTTTCTTCCTGGAAATTTCCTCATCATAAGATCCAAATACTGTGTAGATTTCCTGAACTTAAATACTTAACCTCCTATATCAGCATTCCAATGATTCACTGAAGAGACATACCTAAATAATTCTTCTTAGCATTCATACTTACCATTCTTATACCACCAGAGATATGTTTCACACATATTTGAAAGCAGGTGGGTGTGCATACTGCTTATCTGCAGTATGATATGGAAATGTATTTCATGCAAGTCTTCACTAAAGTCCTCTCAACTGTCTAGGTAAACCTGTGCCCGTGTGAGGCCAGGAGCTAGGAAGTCTTCCCATGTCAGTAATTTCAGTAAGAAAGATCCATGACTCACTCGTTTCCAAACTAAAGGTTGTGACCTTAAATAAAAGTCATGCACCTACAGATGACACTGATGCCATATTGAAAACTGAAACTTAGAAATTAAGATATAAGCCGAGAAATGCAACAGAAAGTGGTATCAAAGGTGTAAAATCTTGGTAGCTACTGCTATCATGAATGGTCAAAGGGAAAAACTTCAGGAGTACCCATCCAAATATCTCTCAGGAGGATACTGAGTGACTGAGACTCAGCAACACAAGCAATTTTTCTGCAAGCAGATGGTTCTATGAGGAAAACAGAATTACTGTACAGCCAGTAAAACCATAGTGAGGCAAGTTATCATTCAGGTTAATACTCATGGTTCTGTGTTCTCAATTTACAAATGTATCTAAATTAGTAGGTTAGCATCTAAATTCCAAGTTCCTGGGATGTAAGGAAAGGGAAATGTAGCTGCATAAGCAGCATTTGTCCTTTATCTTTGCCAGTATAGAGAATTCATCACTGCTAACCATGCTAGCACACCCAATCCTGTGTGATATAAGCATGCTTGGACAACTGGTTATTTAGACATTTCTGCTTTTGCTAGATACTACCTTTAAGTCAATGCTGGACTTAATACAAGTGCCTGGCAGGCACAGTTTTGTCAGCTAAATGACAAGTATGATTTCATAAGCAGATTGACACAGTGGAAAAGTTTCAGGTTTTTATTTATTTGTTGTGAATATCATGGAATGCATTTGTAATAGTCAAGATACTCTGGAAAAAACCACAATATATTCAAATATTTTTGAAAGCAAAAGTTGGAGACATAGGCAGAAACCTGAGACAGGTAGGCAGAAAGCTGACTCCCTCTTAGTTCTTGAGGTTCATACAACAGGACAACTGTAATCCTAGGAAATCTGTTTCAGCAAAGATCTGGCCAGCAAGACAATGATATTTTGCTTAATACATCTAAGATATTGAAAATAGCTCTAAAAAGAGACTTAGATGGATGCCAGTGAACACCAGTTATAAACTCTTGCTGTCATCTGACTTTCTCTGCTGCAGCGTTGCTGTGGTTCACGTACAGATTGCCTTTTATTTCCTGTTCACATCATACTACTTGGAATAGTAAGTTTAGAAATTTTGAGGGTTTTTTAATTTCCAAAGCAGTAAATCTAAGTTTTCTGATTGTTTCTTTCTAAAAGTCTCTATAGAGCCAGGATTGGGAGCTCCCATTTCTTTCTGACCTTCAGGTCTCTGTTCATATCACCTGATTAGCTTCTCTTTGGTGGAAAATGGGTGGGAGACTTGGAAGAGATTTTTGGCAGAACTCATGTTAGCCTACATCTGTTTAGCAGCCGTTGCAACTAAGACAAGAAAAAAGACCCAAAAATCTTAGTTTTCTTCTACTGGCTACATCTTATGCCAAATGGTAGGTGTAGAGGCAGAGAACAAAGCTTAGGGAGGTCTGAGTTACACTCCTCACCTCTCAAAAGGCACACATAAAATATATACAGATGCTACAAACTTCTTGATGAAAAATACAGCAATCTATTTTGTCTGTCCTTCTCCTTCTCCCAGACAAATTCTGGCACACTCTCCGAAGATGCAGCCTACATGGAGGTATTAGTACCTTATCAGTCTCTGTTTTGCAAGCCTGCATTCTTTAAATGTCAAGTAATGTAGACATTAAACACTACTTTGAGGGATGTAGGTCATACCTCTTTCTCAGAACTATTTTTATCAGTTTTCAAAAAACTCAGGCAACATTTTTAATATCTCCTGTTAGACAAAAATGCTTGCTGGTAACTGATGAAAAAGCTACTATTTGGAAAAACATTAAAAACTATAAATGATTGTTCTACAGGTCTTTGGAGGCTTAGATTTTTCCTGAGTTTAATAATAGCTCTTTTTTTTTTTACAAAAAATCATTACTAAGTACACTACTCCCCACCCTCAAAAGTTACTTCTACTTTACTCTGAGGAAAGGATTGCTGTTAATCCCCACATTTGTATTGTCCTGCCAGAGTTTCTGTTTCCTTCTCTCTACATCACTGAGAGATGAAGCATATCAAGCAAACACAGGATCTAACTCTTATGTGTAGAATTTGAAAAGAGGTCATTTTGGTATTTTTGCTTTTGATGCGTGTCTAGGAAAAAAATAACTGGTCCTACAATAGGGAAAAGTGACTGGTTAGAATATCTGTGATACAAAGATCTGCTGCTAACTGAGTAGGGTCAGAATCACAGGCAAAATGTGCAAGAAGCATCTGCTATTTTTTCCTGGATTAGTTCAACAGCTGAATGTACCTTCATTTCTCAGACAGAAATGAATTTTCAGTTAATACCTGCAACAGAAGATCCCAGACAAGAATTTTCAAAAATAAGTTAAATTGGTAGTGCTCTATTAGCACTTGCAGATGGTTTTCAGATCCTGATATCCATACTGACAGTGAGTAGTGACAATAACCACTAAATATTTGTGACAAAATCACCATCGGTATTTCACCCCTGGAGTTGCTATTCAGTGTCCAGGTTTTCAACTTTTACTCGCATCTTCCAACGCTTATTCTCAGAAAGCCTCTACCATAAACAACCTATTTCTAAATTTATTTCACTATAAATTTATAGTGAAGTTGGCTAAATTAAATGTCCTCAATTGAATACCTTCCTCTAAATGATGTTTAAGTGTTTGCAAAGAACAACTACTACATGGTTATTTACTTTAAAATGAAGCAATCTATACAAAGTAATCAATGCAAAAATGTTGCTTCTGAGTAGTTTAATATTGCATGAAAGAGTATTTTAAACTTAATTCGTCTTAGTTTAAATCACTAACATGTAAACAAAAGCTTTAGAGCTTCTAAACATCAATAGGACACAATGATACATGATTCAATGCAAAATACTTTTTTTCTTTTTCTTCAAGATATTGGCAATATGGACTCAGTGGAAAGTACTTTAGTATCAGAGCAATAATCTAGCAAAATATCATTAGTCTTACATA